GAGGTCATCGGACTTTACAGTTATGGTGAAGGGATTACACTATCGAGATATGATTAATGATATCTTTTGACAGGCATTCGATAGTATGGAACTGGTTAACGTTTACCTTCAACAAAACATCGCTACGTGCCACGCAAGCAATGGGACGATCTTTCAACGGAAAAGTTTCCGGACCGTGTTATCTTTCGAAGAAATTTTTTTTTTTTTTTTTTTTTTTTTANTTTTTTTGTCTCTGTTCTATTCTACACTCTCACGAATCTAAATATATGGAGTTATGCACTTGTCAAAAAAAAACACGTCAGGTGTAGAGCACGATCAATTAACGACATTTCGAAGAAATGATCGGATTTTTTTACCGAGATGCTATGTCTTAACATCTTGTGATTTCTTTCTTTGAGGCCACGTGAAAGTTTAGTTCAACGCCAACAGACCAACGTCGATTCAAGACCTGCAAGATGGAATTCGAGAAGCTATTCAGGGCATACGGCAGCAACTTTGGCAGCTAATTTGCCATGCAAAGTTTGAAAATGGTCCTGTAAGCGCTGTCGCTTCGGAAATTTAGTTCATATGGCATTCCATTATTAATGGCATATCTTGCTCTTCACATTGAGAAGATATCAAAAAATTAATCTAAAAAACTGCCACTTTTCCATTTATATCAAAATTATAACTCCTGTTGAAAACCCCTGTATTTTGAGTGACTTGTATGGAAGTGAATATTATCCATACAACAATAAAAAATAATTATGCTAATTAAAAGCAAATAAGAAACCGTAAATTGCTTGAATCAACCGCGTAATCATGTACAATATGCTGTTTACAGCAACTTTTAATCCTTTGAGAGCACAACTAAATAAATATATTGACACAGAAAGTTTGTCTCGCACAAATTGTGCAACTAAAAACATAAATTACTGACAAGCATTAAATAAGCTTGAATTTGTATGTTTGTATGTAAATGTGTGCATAGAGTAAAGGACGAAGTCATGCTTTCCCATTGCATTATCGCGGTCAACGCCATATTTGACTTTACTCATTCACTCTGTAGCTTTCTTTATAAACCATTCCACACAGTTGTTCGCATTTGAATTCCCCAATGAGAAATAACTTTTATTACGACATCCCAAGCAGCTAACACCAGCACTCAGTTAGGCTGCTGACACTCACTGAACGCTTGTTGAGCGGGTTTTACTCACACCTGAAGCAATTTAACTCCAGCAAAACAAAAGACCACACATTTAAATAAAAATATGTGCAATGCTTTAGAAAAAAGTGTATTTAAAGAACTATGAATTTGTGTTTGAAATATATGCTTGTATATGTATGTAGTATATCTATGCACAGCTTAAAATTTTCGCTCAGCCTTACTGTCATAAAATTTTATATATACGAGTGTAGTAGTTTAGCCAAGCCGAATTTAGAGAAGGTGAAGTTGTCACATCATATGATTGCTTGTTCTGGGATTTTTGTTTTTGTATTCTTGCTTTTATCGTGTGTAAATTTGCCTTGAGTTTTGTTGCTTTTGCAAACCTATCAGTCATAAAATATTTTTATGCAATTGTCGAGCTCTTCCTCAGAATTGTGTGGAGCATCTTAATAAGAGAACCTACTGTATATACGAAACCTTATCAGATGAACAGCTTCCACTTCTTCTTGGCGCTTCTGTTTGGCGCTTCCTCCGGAGTGGAAGAACTCTCTGCTATCAGCGGTACTATTGGATGAGTGCATAAGTTCGTGCCCGATTCCTCTGGATGCCGTTTGAATCGTTTGAGAGTGGCGCTCGTGAAAGAAATATATACATATTATATATCGTTGGTCCGAACTGTAAATCAAGCATAAAATAACTTCATTTTGATTTGAGTTGCTTAGTGAAAAGACGCATGGAAGATCATATGCGTCATATTATGTTATACGAATTCCGCAAAGGAAAAACAGTAGGCGCTGCATCTAAAGATATTCGCGAAGTTTATTTGGACCGTGCTCCAGCACTCCGCGTAGTAAAGAAATGGTTCGCGAAATTTCGTCCTGGAGATTTTAACCTCGAAGATCAACCTCGCAGTGGATGGCCTTCTGAGCTTGATGACGATGTTCTAAAGACTTAAGTTGCGAATAACTTACGTATTTCGACGGAAGAGGTTGCCAGTGAATTGAAATTCAACAAATCAACTGTGTTTCATCGTTTAAAAGAGGTTGGGTACACTTTGAAGCTCGATACATGGGTGCCACATCAGTTGAGTGAAAAAAACAAAGTGGACCGTATGTCAACAGCATTTGGTGGGATATCCGAGGCGTGATCTATTTGGAGCTCTTGCCAGCTGGAGAAACGATCACTGCCAACAAGTATTGTCAGCAATTGGTCGAATTGAAGAAAGCCATTGATGAAAAACGTCCGATTTTGGCCAATCGCAAAGGAGTTCTTTTCCATCGCCAGGCCACATGTTGCAAAACCGACCCTGGCCAAACTGACGGAGATGAATTGGGAAATCATGCCGCATCCCCCATATTCACCCGACATTGCACCTTCTGATTATCATTTGTTTCGATCGCTGCAGAACAATTTGATTGGAAAAAAATTTAAAAATGTGGAAGACGTCAAAAACCGCCTTGACACCTTTTTCAACGAGAAACCGCGCGATTTCTATGAATCAGGCATCCGTTAATTGGTTGAACGTTGGGAGTGGATTGCCGAACATAATGGAGAATACATAATTGATTAATAAAAGTGCTTTCTTCTTCAAAATTTGAATTTTAGTTTGTACTTGAAATCGGGCACGATCTTATGCACTCATCCAATATATTAGATACCTTCAAAGCTGCAGTGCTTTCATTCATTTGGATGACATTACCTAGCCAGCACAGCCGCTATCTTTTCATTCCATGAACTAAATCAATGTATAAATCGTACAGCTCAAACTGCCCTTGTCTGCGGTATTCCGCGTTGCCAATGCGCATAAATCATTAGCAAAACTTTTCTCTCGAAGGCTTCCAAAGCCGACTCATCGGAGCTTTTACTACATATCAGCAATAAAATCGGATGGCTTGATATTTCCTGCCGAGATGCAAGCGCAATGTATGTATGGCCGATATTAAATATATATGTTTAAATATTTTTTTGTTTTTTTCTGCAGTCTGTACCTAGCGAATTCTCTTCTCGATTCTTTAAGAGCCCAAGCGGCATATTTTGTGTGTTGAATTTGTCCAGCGATATGCGAGAAGGCTATATAAATTTTTGAGAAACATTTAACTTAGCGCCACCTAGCGGTGCAATTTCTGTTTGTTTCACCTTACATAGATCTGCCGGTCTTTTGTTGTGCCACATGGAGCTTTTAGTTAATTCGAGCTTAAGAAGATGGCGACGCTTTTTGTGTAGTTCAAAAGAGACTTGATTGCCATTTTTACTACATCTTTTAATCCTTTGAACTGCAGAGCTCCTAGATGCTTAAGATGGGTTCTAGATAAGATCAAATAAGCTCAGGTCAGTTACTGCAGCGTCTCACTTATGTCTCTCTCTTTTTCCTAAACTTCTTTTACATATCATTGACAGTGACGCCAGTTAGGTTGTGACCTAGAGTTAGGTCCACTGTCCTGCCGTTCTTTTCAGATCGTGACAACAAGAATTGGTTGTGCTCACATATACTGTCATTGCACTCCATTAAGGTATACTATCTCATCTTGATCCGCCTTCGGGTCCCTTCGAAATTATTATTTCTGTATTCGAGGTACTAGTCCTTTAGCCAGACGGATGACGCTTTTGGCGTTTCTTGTGACCTGAAAGCCAGTAGATGCTTTACCGCCTCGACATATAAATTGTTGATATTTTTGTGTGGTTTCCTGCGTTGCAACTTTGAAGTTCTCCGCCTGGAAAATACTGTTGAAATTTGGCAATATTGACCTGATCAGACCGAAACAAAGGCCCCACTAATAACTCAGGCTACTATAGGGCTTTTTCAAACTCTCATAAACATTGCACTTCCACTTTGGACCACATCGGACATACAAATAGTGTCTATAAACGTTTCATCTCAAGCTTTGTTGCTTTAACTTCCAATTTTTCATAAAATCTCACTGCATCCACCGCAGGAGCTCTTCTTCTTGATAATCTAAGCAGGCTGCCTTCATTTCGTTCCAATCTTTTTTATTGCAGCTTTGTGAACTCTTTATCCATTACTGAAAGTTCACGCTTGCATAACTGTACAACACTGCTTGAAAGACGGATACACAAAGAGCTCAATGTCATTGAGTGTCACATGAGGTAACGAAAAAAACGTTTTGGACCGAATTTCTATCAGCGCAAACGGATGGTAACTAGAAATGAAATGGAAGAAACAAGGATCACATACAACAACTTCAGAAGGAAACAGTCGAGGTCGAGAGGAAGTGAGCCAGCAAAAACAGTCTACATGTTGGGAATGAGGGTCAGGATGATTTGGTTGTATATCTGGTGGAATTGGCAAGGAAATATCAAATTACGGACTACTCCCCTTTAGCCAAACTCTTAATTCAGTTATATACTAACTGCAAGTGTACCACCTGAAGAAAGCTATCGCCCAGAAGCGTGCAGCAGCTTCGGCCAACTGGAGGGGTTTATCAGGTTTCACCAGAAGCTCCTGGAGCTTTTTATGCATTTATCTTGCAGTCTGTGGTTTGCATCAAGCGATTTCCATCTGTTCCTGTTCCCATAATCGTCATAATTTGCAAAAAGTTATCGCGCAGAAAATAGATATTGGACTAAAGCGCATATTTATGATAAATAAAATGTTTAATTTAATGCAAAAATTATGAATTACTTTTTATTAGACCAATATATCGTATTAAATTTAAATAAAAAAATAATTTTTTTTTTTTTTTCGATGAAGGGACTTTATTTCTCAGAATTACGAAATTTTTGTTTTAAAAAATTTTAATTTTGTTTTAACTTACAAAGGTGTGTCTAGTGCATTTTTTTGTTATATGAAATATCAATATGTAAATAATAACAATAAGAGCAAAAGTGCACTTACTTTTATATGCTTAAGATGTGCATTGAATTCAACGATAATTCACTCTCTCAGGATTGACGGTGCGTATGAGTAACTTTATGGGTAATATTTTTTACTCACTTGCGTCTTTGCATTTAAATTTGATTCATAAAAACCAGCATAAATTCTGTTCTACCATCGCTTGGAAATTTACCTGAACGTGAGACCAAAAGTATAAAAATAGAAATTTAATATAATTTTACCCCGACATTCAGTTGTGTGTTTTGATAGGCATTTTCGGAATATTAAATAAATATTTTTGCCTAAAGAATTCACCGTACCCACCATCAGGGCTGGTATGACGGAAAATGATTGATGGACACTTTGCAAAATGTCTACTTCAATTGAGTGTCAGTTTGACACTTTCAATCTCCGCGCAAATTCGAACAAAAGACATTTTTGAGTGCAAAAAAAAAACAAAAACAAAATATGTAGATAAATATTGCTCCACTACTAAAATTGTCGCCCACACGAGCGTAGACGCCACCTAACCTGACCCCATTACGAGATATTCGCTTAAACCGTTAGACCGTCAACAACCATTTTCAGTGTCAACAAAAATGTCACGAAGCTCAAAATTGCATCATTACTTTTATGAATGTTAAACAAAATAAAATCATTGTCGATAGAGCATCATCATTACGCACCGTCGAGCATCTATGTAGGTTTATTTGGGGTCTAACCAAAAAGACAGTGACATTGTGCACCGTCAACCATCATTTAAAACATTATACATTTTAATGGATCCGAGTGTCAGCGTTAAGTGGAAATATTCAGAAAAAATAATTTGAATTTATTTAGCAAAATCATCACAACTGTCACAATCAATAAATGCTAGCAGTAATATGCTATATCACACATATACGAAAATGTCATTTCTCAACTTCAAAAACTTAGCAGCAGCACTTTAAAATACATATATATATATATATTAGGTCAAGTAAAAAGTTCGTTCGGTTTTTATATAAGAGATGGCGTTAATGTCCATAGTACTAGTTTCACGTGTCGTGTCATGTCATATTATACGGCGCTGGAAACGTGTTTATTCGCACTAAAAGTTTGTCTCTGACAGGTTTTCAATTGACTGGCACAGTACGTTGTGTGCGCTCGTCAAAGATGGACACCAACGAAGAGAAAATTCGCTAGATTTTAAAATTTTTCTTCGATCAAGGCGAAAAGCAGCCAAAGCGGCTGAAAAAATTAATTTAGTTTATGGGCCCGGACCTGTAAACGAGCGTGTAGCACAAAAAGAAGAAATCATCTACTACGTGCTGCTCCCCTATGGCCAAACGTTCATATCGGTCTTGTACTGCCAACAGCTGGACCGCTTGAAGGCAGCACTGATCCAAAAGAGGGCACCTTTGATCCACAGAGACCGAATTGTGTTCCATCAGGACAACGCATTAGCTATTTTCAATTCCACTTTCAGGCTATTTTGCCATACAATTCACAAAATAATGAATTTCTGTGGAAATTTCAAATATTTTTTGCATTTAAAAATTTTCTGAATCATGATGCTATGGAATCTGAGCAGGAGCATTATTAACTGCAAACGACATATCTGTGCTAAAATATAAAGTCCAATATCTAAAAAAATATTTAATTTGTTTTAAAAATGTTTTTTTCGAATATAAAGTGTATTTTGGTAATCAAAGAATCGTTTTTCTCAAAATACCGATGATTTTCTTGCTTGTGTGGCACGCAAGGCCACGTACACGTTGAGGATGGAAAGGCTTTTCAACAATAAATCTCGGGTATGCCGTGTGTCAAATGTGTCTGTTTTACTTATCGCCGTAGCCATGGGGGTGGAAATAGGCCTCATCAGTCAAGATGATTTTTCGTGGCTTCGACTTCGACTGGCTTGATTTCTTGTGTTAACTCAACATTATGAGCCTTAAGACCCAAGTCTTAATAGAAAATCCAGAGTAATAACGTTTGTGAAATTCCCACTCCCAAAGAACGGCGACAAGGAATGGACAATTCTGAGTTTTCTGCAACACCACTCTTTTCACCAATTTCGCTCCGACAAGGTCTTCCATGATGGCCAAGAAACATTTCAGCTTTATGAAGCTTGTCGAGTAAGTGATATCTGAGGCTGGCTCGAATGAATTCCAGTCGAGAGACCTCACTTTCGGTCACCCTTTTGCCGTGAAACTAGACATCAGCAGCATGGTTTGCAGTAAAAGGGTGGAATGGGTGATTAGGTCTTTCCAACCCTGCAAATCTCCAGGACTAGATAGAATCTTACCCGCTGAACTACAGAAGGCGGAAGGCATCATATCCCATTTTCTATGTAAAATTTACAAAGCTTGCCTACGTGAAGAGTATATCCCGCAAGCTTGGTTAAGAACCGCAGTAATTTTTACCCCAAAAGAAGGAAGAACCAACCATATCAATCTAAAGGATTTTCAACCAATCAGTCATACCTTTTTTTTTCTTAAAAACCTTTGGAAAGGCATCTGGACAGCTATATACGTCGGATTTATCCCCTAAGCAGCCTCTCGGGGAAGCAACATGCATACTGCAAGGGTAAGCCTATTGATACAGCCGTGCATGATATAGTCGAGAGCATCGAAAAAGGTATTGCCTTGAAAGAATCTACACTAGGTATTTTCCTCGATGTCGAGGGGCTTTCAACAACATTCTCCCTACCTTCGTGATAGAGGCTCTTCAGAAAATGGGTCTTCGACGGCCTTTAGTGAAACTCGTAGAGTCTCTTCTGAGCAACAGGTTCATCTATGCAGAGATGGGCAACGCCAGCGGAGTGGGAGGAGTTTTATCGCCACTGCTGTGGTGCTTAGCAGCGAACACGCTTGAATGTTTGATCATTTTTTCACGCTTTTGACATTATCTTCCCATGCCGTTCGTATTACATGACATCAAAAGCTAGAGTTGCTAACTATAGAAGTTATTGCTAAAATTTATGTTAATTCTTTAAAATTATATTTTTTTGGAAATTCAAATACATTTATATGGCATAAAAATATTCAGGATGGTTTAATTGGGATTGTTTTAGCTATTGAAAAAATTTAATACCAGACTTTGGAATTTTATAGTGAAAGTGTTGGGTTGTTTTAAGGAAAAAATTAAAAAAATTTATTTTAAAATTTTCGGCAACCCATGAAATTGAACCAACTCCGTCATTAAACATAGGATGTCTCTCTTTACGTAAAATTTTATTCTATAAACCTTGCTGAAAACCCACAAAACAAGTTCAAAAATAGCTTTTTAAGTCAACTACCGCAAATATATTTAAAAAATTTGTTGGTAAATAATTTTGTAACTTGTGCCGTTTTGCTCCTTTTAAGACCAGTTACAAACCAGTCTTTATCAGCGCCTTTTAAATTTAAACTGCAACATTATTTCAGCACGAGCCAAGTGGGTTCTATTAACACATTTATTGAAATAATCGCCTCAAGTTCAAGTTCATAAGCACGTATGTATGTATATGAGCACTTCATCTTCCCATAATTGTTTTTGTACAATATCTAAAGCTCTTTGAAACGACACAAAAGCAAAACAGCCTAAGGATAATTACCAAATAAGTAGTTTTATAAAACAACAACTCCACGTAGCAATGAATAAGAAAAATCTATACAATTTTCATAAATTTTTTTTACTAAAAATTAGCATAAGCTAACATACATACACCACATACATACCAATCATACACATAACCATATGTGTGTGGTGGCAGTAAATTTTCAATAAAGCTTGCCATAAATGCTTACAATATTTAAATTGATTCCAAAAAGAATTCAAATTTAATAAAGTAAAATGACTTTACATTTATGTACATGCATACGCACGAGTTCACAAACAAGTATGCACCTGTTGGCAGCTAAAACGAGACGTTGTACATCGAACACCCATGAAAACCCAAGGGGACTTCATTATTCACTTCATATTCAACAACGTGGTGAATTTTTAAGGAGACACCTGCCAAAAAAGAAACATCAAATTGCTTTCGCAATATTTCCGTAACAGAATTACGAGCGTCAGTTAAGCAAGTAAACGCTTATACATACTTATATATATACATACAATACATATATACTAATTTGGTTCACGTGTTTATGTTTCATAGATGCCTGGTGTATTTTAAGGGCGCCAAAGGAATTTAAGGTGAAATTCTTGTAGATTCTCACCGCACACACTAACAGGAAATAGTTTGCATGTGCAAGCAAAAGAAAAAGAATTGGTATAAAATATACAACAAAAATAACAAGAAAATATAAGAATGTCAATACAAAATATGTGGGCTGCCTTGTATATTTCGCGAATTGGCAATGCTAGTTTTGCAATCTGGCAACTGGAAGCCTTACCGTAAAGTTGACATTTTTAATGTTAAGGGGCACACCCAGTGTGAAATCTCAAAAAAGATTACAGACATATTAAAATTTCAAATCGATATCTCAAATAGTTTTTGAGTTACAGCAGCTTAAAGAGCAGCCGCTCGGCAGCTAGAGAGTCTCATTAGCTACGAGACGTACCTGATCATTTTATCTTTAAACGCGTTTTTCCCGAAACAGCATTTTCCGAATTTGCTGCAGTGATTACTTAACAGCAAATGTTCCGATCACTATCGATTTTTTTTATATTTTCTATATAGAGTTCTCCATACAATGACCTATCGATTTTTGATCTGATCCAAAAATATAATTTTGGCAGGCTAAAAACGACCAAAATTTTGGGTAGAATTCGACTATTTTTTTAAAACGCCGCCATATCGTCAATTTTTGATTTTTTTTTTTGAATCGTAAGTTATTGTACAGAGAATATTATCCAGTAGAGATTTTTTTTTGTAGATTTCATCCACGGAGAAGGCCGGGATCACTGCAGCAGTGAAGGACCTTTTTTTCGCGCCGTTGGAGATCTACTATAACTGAAAAAATATATAATTTTTTTCTTCATAAATTTCACTGTATATTTTTGAAACATGCATAAATATTAAAATTTTGAAACAATTGATAAAGTATTTTTTTTTTTAATAAAATTTCCCAAAATCACCTGTTTTTTAGGCCATTACACTAGGTGTGCCCCTTAAACACAGTCAGAACGCTTTGCGTTGTTTAAAAAAAAACTTAAAATATGCACCGCTGCTAAAAAAATGGGTTTTAATCGCAATAGTTATTTAATTTTTTTATTCGCGCA